AAATCACACTATCCCTTCCCTACCCAAAACAGTCGTCCAAATCTGCAGGGCCACATGTCCAACCAGATCAATCGGGAACTACGAATTTTAGACGAAATCGTCTGAATGGCTTAGTTCCTAGTGTTGACTAGAGTCAGGAGGAAGGACAGGCAGACTGTGGCTTTGCTGTAAATCAATTTTTTACTGCCGAGGACGAAATCTAACCCAACACTACGTAACCCAAAGAGATTTATACTCTTATTTTGACATGAGAGCCTCACAATACTAGTTTTTATTCTTAAAAATTCGCCTTGTTCCGCAGCCACAAGACTTCCTCTATAATACGTAATCAGTGTGTGAGAAAGTAGCTAGTGGTGTTACAACTGCACATTCTCTCTTCCGAATTTACGCAGGAACGTTTGTTAATGTGTTAGATAACACATAATCGAAAAAAAAAAACATTTAAAAAATGTGTGGGTAGATAAGCCATGATCATTATGTTTCTCCTGTGTCTAAGAACATATTGGTACCAAATATGAGTATAATGCGCTAGCGGCCTGTGATGGTGCCACAGAACCGGTGCCTAATAGAGTCGCATGACGCCAATTGCAATGCGTAAGATAAACATTTTTAATCTAATAGGGATGTACTGTAAAATAAAATAAAAGCTTACACTATCTCATTAAATTTGAACCAATTACTTCGTAAATAATAATCATAAACACCGTGCTTTTTATAAAAATGTATATTTTTCTTTCTTTTACTTTGGCTTCCTCTGGTGATATTTTAAAATTTATCTGTTGCATGTCACATCTCAAAACAATTCTATTATTTTTAAATATTGAGGTGAAACTATTATTTCTTCCTAAGTCTTCATGGAATTTTTAAACGAGTTTTAAGTTTACGCAGTACACGAGATAGAATTACTAATTTTTACTTTACTTATTGCATTGGGGTCTAAAAAATAATTGTATGCAATTTTTTTTTCGCAGAACATAACGAAAGATCGCATACATAAAATCCATTTGCCAGAGGCTTAAACTCAGAAGTTCCACGATTGCAGTAGTGCGTTGGAGCCAATTTGTACCCCATGATGTGGTGGCACCTACCGTGGGAGGTCCCCGGAATACGCCTTCGCCGCTGAAACGTAGCAGAGGTTGAGCCTTGAGGGTCAAAGCAGCACAACACGCGTGCACAACGCGCGTGCGACCGCACAACACTCACAACACGCGTGCAACCCCGCTCTCCCTTCCCCCCGACCGCGCCCACACCGTCACGCTTCCGCCGCTGCGCGGGGGCGTGGCAGTTACGCCAGCGCTTGAGCGATGGCTGTCCCTCCCTCGAACCCGGAAGACCGCTTCCACTCGCCCTCACCCACCCGCTTGCTTCTGTGGCGTCCTTGCCGGGGCAATAAATCACAGACGTGAACGGTTTGGAATTTATTGAATAATTATTTTAAATATGCTCCAACACCTGAATACTATGTACAATATTTACAAATAACAGTATTGACCCGTTACTAGAAGGAATGTTTCTGGTCACCACCACCGCTGGCCTGATAACTTGATATCTTATTTGGTGGGATGCACCAGTTGCCTACGTGAGCAAACAAGCGAGTATGCTGCACCTCCCGTCTCGACGTAGCACGCCGACTTCAGTTCCCAGCCTCTGTAGCCTGTGCATTGAAATGCAGCGCCGCGCACAACCCACACAACCGACGCGCCCAAAAATCAGGAGTTTAGGGCCGGGGTCGGCTTATATTACTTTTTGGGCCGGCTGACGGAACTGCGTCATCTCGCTGTTTCCGCCGACGCGTTTCCACAGCCAGTATGTCTACGGGGTTCACAAGTTTGCCCCGAGGGGTAAAAGGGGTTCACAAGTGGCCACCCACGACACGGCATCCCTTCCCTTCCGCTTCCTAGGTTTGCCATTGTTCAGCCCGGCGCCCCTTCCCGCCAGCACTGCCCGCTGTCGCAAACTACTTCCTCGTGTATTTCATGTGCATGAAATGCACGTGGCTAATAGTTTGTCACGTTTGTAGAAGGCGACTGGTATGATGCCATACTCCTCCCTCGCCTGCGCCCTCTCCTTCCACTTCGCCTAGGGCTATGGAATTCGCGTCTCCAAGACCGACGTTCGCTCGGTTCTCGCCCTCGCACTTAGCCACGACGTCGCTCACTCCCAATCTCTTCCTCAGGCCTTGATCTGGCGTTTTCGCCCTCACCCTGGCCTCCGACCACGTCCTCGTCCTCGTCTTCGACCTCTTCGTCCTTCTCCCTTTTCACCTCTCCTGCGCCTTCGGCATTGATCTCCCCCTCCCCCTCCCTCTCCCCCTCTTCCTCGCTCGCCTTCGAATCCGACCTGGACCGCACCTCGGCATCGGCGTGTGCCAGTGCCTTCGCAGGAGCCCTCCGGCCTGATCGATAATGGAAAATTCATTTTGGCAAACATTCTACCAATAGTTTTTTATACATTTGTATTTTTTTATATTTGCAGAAGTACATAGCTCAGTAAATATAACTATACATATGTCTTAAAAGACGTACTTACCTTACTTAAAAGTAAACTTACATACTATTACAAGGGGGAGGAATTCCCGTTAAGGGATGGTCAGTCAGGATCTAAATTTGCAATTTTTTTAGGAATATGCGGTATGAATATTTGTTTTTTATTCTTGTTTCGAATATGGGTTATTTTGGCCAGTTTCAAGGGTAGAAGGGCTGGAATGTGAGGTAGATTAAAATAAAAGTTGGATACGTGTTTCTATAGGTTCAAGGTTAAATTCATTATGGAGTTGGTTGTTGGTGTCTAAGGGAAAAGAGCAACTATTCTTAGTTGCAGGACTTGTAGTTTGTGAATGTTAGTTTTAGCAGAGTTCATCCAAATTGGGCTCTGATTGCAATACTCAATTGGTTACCAAACTAGTCCTAACGGACTCGTTTGGCAATTTTCTAATCTCGTATTGTATGTATTACGACACTAATATCGTAAATAACATTTTTGCCAGTGTATTTTGCATTTTTATTACAATTTTTTTTTTATTTATTTCGTTCCCTAGTTACGTCGAATTCAGCCTGAACTCCATACGACGCGTGTTATATCCTAGTGACCCGTTGCTCTCTGATAGGTAATTTTGCGTGGTTCCTTCGTTCGAACTGTGCCTTTATAAAAGAAGCAAATATTGCGATCGATCTTTCCTTTCTCATCCTGTCTCCTCCTCTACCCTTACACACGTTCTTACAAGCACCACTAACACTTATTTCGGGAGTTCAGGAGAAAGTTTGCAAATTGACGTGTAGTTAGGCATCCGATTTTGTAATGTTGGAGGCAAAGAACAGTCACCTCTCGAGATAAAACATGCAGTACACTAACGGTACTGATGACTATAGTAGTTGACGCGCAAAAGAAACACGAAATATTCATTGTCACGAAAGAGCGGAAGTGTAACCTGCGTAGGACGTTCTACATGTGAAGCAATTTGGAATGAAACATACAAACGTCTCTTATCACAGATAGATAGATTTATTAAAGTTCGCTTTGAGCTAATGCTCGGTGGCAAACATGATAACAATTAGAATTAGAATTACAAAACATTTTCAACATTTACAATTAGGTTTACTATTAGAATTAGTTTATTAGAATAGTTATTATTATTAATAGTACTATTAGAATCTGTTTACTATTAGTATTAGAAGAAAGTTTATTGCGGAAACAACGTACACGCAGCACTCATCATTTCGAAAACTGACTATCGTAAGACCAACAGCAGATAGGGTGTAATCGGAAACGTAAAAAGTCAATTTTGAAGTGCTTTTAAAAGAAGAGTTGTGGGCAAAATTATTTCGTGTTGTAATGTCTCCGTTGGCCGTTGGGCGGGTGCGAGCAAGGGCTGAAGGACGCCGAAGTGGCCGGACTTTCGACGCCGAGTGCGACCTTGGATCAACCCAGACTTTTGACTGCCCGAAGCGAAAACATTTCCCAGTAGCTGCTTTAGTACTGGATACAAAATCGAGCGTGACAGCTCTCTACATATACACTTCCATTATACATATGTGAAATATTGCTTAATATGCAATATACCAAATACAAAATAATCGTCTGGTAACATCATTTTGTTGGTTTAGTATATTTTTCAATAAGATAATGCATAATCGGAAATGCTGAATAGAAAAAATAAACATTAAAGTGCTTTTTACTTATTAAAGAATATCATTGGGAACTTATCATTGGGTGGAATTGGGTGGGTTGGAAATTGCTACCAATAAGGAATACCTATCCAATAGAAGTTGCGAGCGAGTTTTCGAATAATATAATTATTATAAAATGGACAAAGGAGGTTATTCGAATAACCATATGTATATGTTGCAAATCTTCAAAAAACGCTGTGAAGGTGTTTCCAGTTGCTCCAGCCTACTAAATATTAGAACACATTAGGTACTATATTATGAAAAACCTCGGGTATCACCATTTGTTCATCAACCGTAATATGTGAATTTTAATACTGCCATATTTTAACTAACACCGGCATGAACTAAATAATTTGTCAATATGCGTTTAGTCGGAAAATATTGTTTGATGTCATTCACCACTCTGATAATTTCTACTCTTTGATAATAACTTTTACAATGATAGCTTTTGATTAATTTTAATTATTCTCTCACCTATCTGTTTTCTTTCATTTTTTTTACTTCCGTCAATACTGAGGTAAAATAATCGTCGAGTGTAATTACTTCCGTGGCTTCTTCACTAACGAGTACATAATGTACAGATAGGTGAAATTGACGAAAAATATGGATTTTGTCGGGACAAAGTTTGGATTCTCAACTAAAGTATGGAATGCCAACGTATGAAATGCTTCTTAATCTCAAATTTAGCAATGTATATTCACCGGTGACGAATTCATCGCGTTTCAAATTCAGTAAGTCAATTTTCACTGATTTTCGTTGGTAATACTACAGACTTAGTACGTCGTTACGTTTCCGGCCTCCCCTGAAAGCATTTCCTCCGTGGTATACCCCTCCTTGCTGAATTGAGGAGTGGAGGGGCAACGACTAGCCCGGAGGGGTGGAAGGGCAGGGCAATGCTGAGGAAGCGAAAATCTGCCATTTGAGTGTTGGCGAGCGACGTGTTACAATGTTGAGCAACGGCTGCGCCTTTGACTGAATTGCATTCGTCAGCGATATGCTTTCAGAAAAGGAACTCTTGTATTATTTAACATCTTGCAGTGGTGTGTTTTCCCAAAATTGGTGTGCTTTATTTACCATATTTCAGAATGCGATGTTTCATCTGTGTGGTATATTGGCTACCATGAATACATTAAGGTAAGAATATGGTTTGGCTATGTATTTAATATTTGTTCACTAGGATAGAACGAGAGCACAAAATGGAGTTTCTTACCTTTTTCAGTAGATAACGTAAGATATGTATTCGAAATAATTGGAATTTTTTAACCGGAATAAAATTTATTAACTCCTTAAGGTACCTACTGGATTGCTAGTTTGTTCTACAGACGTTTTGTATGTTCTGTTCACAACTCTCATTTTTTCGTTTAAACTTTTTCTTATAGCATTTTGAGATTCAAAAAAATTTTTTAAAATTGTATAGTAATTACTGTTGAAAAGAATTTATGCCCCAAAAATCTTTATGGTTTTAAATATTTACATTTGACCTAAAATTTCTGAAATGTGCACTTTAATATGCAATTAAAACTAACAATCTTTAATTTCATGTATAAATTATTTTTGATAAAATTCAGGAGAAAAATTCTTGGAATAAAATTTTGTGCAAACATAATTTAACCCAGATTACTTAGCGGGATATTTATTGAAGTATATATGCACTTTAGTGAAGTACATCGCAAGTCTTATTTAATTTTTTGTCAGGTTTAAAAATGTGATATCAATAAATATCCTACATTTGTAAAAGTACTTTATTTATAGAAAAGAAAAAAATCCATGAACACTTACAAATATTCTATGAAAACGAGAAACGTTTTAGGAAAAATTCTAATTTTTGCAGTAATTCGTAAGTTGACTAGTTATAAGTAAATGAAACTAGTAAATTTCGTTTGAAAAATTTGTTTCTCAGTGTACGTAAATCATAATTATGTGAAGCTTCATTTTCATAAAGAATTATGAATTGCGAATAGTACACAAGATACATAATTAAGGGTAGTGGATCATTGTAACAAGACAGTGTAGAATTTTTCTTTCTTAGTGTTGTTTGAAGGTGTGCTTCCACCTTCGGGTATTATTCGCGCAACTTGAACGATGACCTTGCTTCCCCTTTGGCACAATAAACAGATAGATGAAGGCAAAAGCTCGCAGCGTGCACCGTCATTCCAAAAGTCTTCACTGGCGCGAAATAGAAACAATTTTCTTTTTAAGACTAGAACTTCTATCAGTTATTTTCTTCAAAAATCTAAAGAAATGACCAAAGCAGTTAGATCCATTACAGGAGATACTTCGAACACGTGAGAAAGTTAGAACGCAAATTACTGAGCACGTTGCGAAAGCATGACTGATCCTCCAGAGATTGGCATTGCTTTTTAAAATCTAGTGGCCAATTTCATAACTAATACCGTCACTCGAGCGGCATTTCTTCAATCCATCGTTCAAGAAAATTTTCTCGAGTAATACCGGAGTAGTCAATCCAGCAATATTCTCTCGTCTCGGAGCTGAGGCATGCTCGCGGGGCCAAGAAGGGAGCAGGGCCGTGGAGGGGGAACCGCCAATGGGAGGTCGAGATATCGCTCTGGGGAAAGAGGTTCTGTCTTTTGGATGAAACGAGAGCGGCCGATCGCGAGGTGCCCGCGTCTGGTAGGGACAGAGTATTCTCGTGAGCAAAGCGAACCGAGGATCAAAAGAGCGCAGTGTTTAAAAATGTTTGTGGAGAGTAAAGATTTCTCCCCACGCACTTATACCGTATTGCAATTTAAAATGTCTATAGTTTATGGAAAGTTTCTCCCGTAAATATACTTACAGGCGTTTCGAGAACGTTTTGCGTGAAAAACCAGACCGAAGTCAGAATTCGCGAAGGTTATGACAAGTACTAAGAGTTCAGATGTGTGAAATTTCCGTATGTTTTGCTATTTACGTACAGTTTTGAAAATAGTATTGAGTAATATTGTGGCGAAAAGTAAATTTAATCGACTTAATTGCTCTCCTGGCGTAATAATCAAAAATTACTAATTCGCAATACGTAGAGGAAGAAATTCTGGAGCTTAAGAAAACGTGCGTAGATTATACACCCCCTCCCCATATGAAGATACGTTGTACATGCTATTCGTCCTCGTCGTGCCGAAACACTATCGGACGTAATGTTAGATTGCGTGCCCTAGGGTATAACTCGCGAGGTATTCTCTTATAACATAAACCAAAATTTTAATTAGCACGTATTGGCATGAGCATATACTACACTTCCATGTTCATACCTTTTCACAGTTATTATTAAAAACAGATTTGCATTGGAAACTCTCATCAAACGAGATCCCGTAACTCATCAGATTTCAGGCCCCACGAAACTCTCCAAACACGCCCGACCGCCCCACGCCGCTTGGCACGCACGCACGCACGCACATGCCCGACAAGCGCGGGCTTTTTGAGAAAAAAAAATCGGTTAAAAGTTAAGGACAAACGGGGGGGGGGCATGTGGGGAAAAGTCGTCTCCAAGTTTGGAAGTGAATATACTCAGTGTTAGGTCTTGAATGCAGATTGACTATCTCTAGAATTGGTTTTATTGTTGGGTACATTTAGTTTACTACTACTGGGAAAGTGTGAAGCTCAACATAGATTTAGATTTATTTAGTCAAAAATCTGCAAAATCATGCGTTCTAATATTTTTAATAAATCAAACTTGTTTTTGGTTCCAGCATCCAGTAGGAGTTGCAAGTGCGCTACCTGCTGCTAGCAGGGCCATCTGGTGCATCGTGGCATCAGGACTGATCGTCTCCTGCAGCAGTCTACCACACAGCGTCATCACTGAATGCTCCATCGTCCATGCGGTCCAATCCCACATTTGCAGACTTGTGTAGTGCGCCCTGGAGCCTCCAAAAGGTCTGTCTCTAACTATTTTAGTGGTGAGCCGAGACTGCCATGAATTGGTGACGTGCGTACAAATTCGGGGAAGGAGTGCTGATCCCGACTCGTGCGCATGTGAGAAGAGTTGCCAACAAGTTTTGATGTCATTGTATCTAATGTATTGGATTGAATCCAATATCCAATGTATTGGAAAATTATCCTAAAATCGTGTGGATTTTATGGGAATAGACTTGCGTTGATATCCCTGTTCTAGAAAGTTTTCCACGCATCTTGACAATCTGTATTGTAATTATAATTGCAAATTGAATTACTAACAATGAACAGTGCATTGTAATTTAACAAAAGTTTGAAGCGAGTACCAGAGACGAAGAATCGTAGTATTGTACTGCAAAGTTAGGTTGCATAAAGTCATAAGAAATATTTTTTTTGCCAAGTGAGCAAAGTTTGCATGATTCTTTAAAATAGTAATTTACGCTCAACATTTGTCAAAGTTTCTATTTACGACACTTATATTCCTTAGAAAATCAAAGATATACTGAAAGTTCTAGCCATTATTAGAAAATTCCACGGCTAGCAGATTGGGTGCACCATGTTCACTCAAGTAAATTACTAACTGAAAACTGGTAATATATTCCAAAACTTATTTTTTTCTCAGCATTACGTGAAATAAACGCTGTAGATAACATTTTAAAGAATACGAAAAACAAACTTGCATATAGTTATCTTTATTGAGGAGCATTATATTTCATCCGTTATTTCTAAAAGCCCACCTGTGCATTTTTTAGGAAAGTTACGCTCATAATGTTATTGAGTACGATTTTAGGTTTGTACAAATGAATACGTCACTATTCTTTGATAAATCCATACCGGTATGGTTGCCTTTATACTTACAAAAATCACTTTACTTTTACGTACACTGTGGGATCAAAAGTATTCGGACACGTGGCTGGAAATGACTTACCATTTCGTGGCGCCCTCCATCGGTTATGCTGGAATTCAGTACGGTCACCTTTAGCCTTGATGAGATTCCGCTCTCGTAGGCATACTTTGAATAGAGTGCAAAGCGCTCAACGCCCCTCGGGGCTTGGAGACGCGTTGTGTAAACTGAAGACGCGAAAAATTTAAGATGCAATCGCCATCCCCGAATTATTTTTTCAATAGAGGGAAATGTTTAAAACATCTACGTGTTCCTGTGCAGTGAAAGTGCTTTACAAAAGAACGCGACCACACCATAAAACCATTTTGGACGTCTCCGGATATTTTTGATCACGTAATGTATGTTGCATTCTCCACAAACTCAATATTCGACCTAGGTATGGCGTTTTCAATAACATTTATAAACATAAGTGGAAAAAGAGTAAATTAGTGATATACAATGGTTTACAGGTCACTTTTATGAAATTATATAATTTTTTTAAAGTGTAGATTCTTTTTGTTGTGGAACAATTCATAGTTCTGCTTGCTTTTATCTTTATATTGCTTTCGTGATGGGTTTACCCAAATGTTGTGCGTGCATTTCACTGAAATATGGCTGAGGTTTTCATAAAATAAGGTTGTAGGGAAACAAAACCATTAACTTTTCTTCTTTCCAGGATTTTTGAACCTTTCCATTCGTGACAAGCATTCTCTTCTATAACTAAAGTTAGAAAAAAATGGGGATTCAGTGTAGTGTACGCTTATCAATTTTAACTGAGGAAGAAAACTTGAAACGATAATGGAACTATTAGATTAAAAATACGAAGCGCTAAAATTGCATCAATGAAAAATATTAAACCAGGGAATCTCTCTGAGATTATAATTTTAAAAAAAAATCACCTTGCTATAGTTGTGGTTTCGATGAAAATATCTGAAAAGTGTAGTTCTTGGCAAGTTCAGTTTCACATTTCTAGTCATAAAATTGCACTTCCTACAAATTAATTTAAATAAAATCAAAAATGCAGTTTTAAGCGAAAGACTATTTTCACTCAATTCTAGCTGTAACGTTCAATGTGAATTACTCGACGGTAGTGATATATACTCCAAGGGGTAAGGTAAAGGTGTACAGGTACAAAAACCCTATTGTCTGCTTATTTTGTCCATATCTTAGCTATAGCCATAGCCATAGCCATAGCGAAACCCTTATACGAGCAATGTTTGTTAACAAGAAGGGATATTCTTTGGAACAGTTCAGTGTCAATAACAATGTTGGATTTAGCATTGGATTGTAGAAAATAGTTTTGAACCATTGCGTGTTTTAAAACAATTTGGTGAACTTGCTCGCTGACAGGAATTTGATTCCCAGAAATATTCTGACTAGATTTCCTAGAACTTCTGAACGCTTTCTTTCATAATTTTAAACAGCAAAAATTCGAAAAACATTTTTCTTACTGTTCGGAATTAAATTTGTGATGTGGCTGATCATATTGAAACAATAACGGCTACATTTTATACGCATTAAAATCTCAAGTCAAAGCATCTTTTTATTGAGCTTGGAATGATAAAATTGCCTTGCTTTTCCTTGTTTAAGAAAGTGATATTTTACAGGTTCTACTTGGTAATTGTTTATAGACAGAAATATAATTTTTGGAAACCACATTTTCATTTAAATCAAATGTATGTTTCCAATTCATTATAACGTTTAATACATGGTGTATGGTAACTTTGTAAAATTTTGATAACTTTCATAATCACTACTTTTCGAGACTTATTTCAATCTTCAGAAAATAATTGTAATTATAAAAGCAATGAGTGAAAATATACTAATACATCTCAAATATGAACAGAATTAAGGAAAAGGCTTAATATTCATGAACGCGAGTCGCTGAATGGAACGCACGTTCATTAAATTTTTTAGAAACGTAAAGTTCGAAAATGTTATAAGAACGATGACATGGCGGTATGGATTATGGATTAAACTAATAAATTATTCTGTTCATACGCACGGTCATCTAAGAGGTGTGTATCTACTACGGCGAAATTACGCGAAACGCCGGCTAAGCTTTGAGGGGAATTACAAAATAGATTGCCACAAAGTTGCATACACAATTACAGAAACTTTGTTTTATAGATTTGGAAATTTGTTAGATTCCAGCAGCTTATTTAAATAGGAACATGATTTTATATAAAGTATTTTTAGAGTTAATTATGGATACAAGAAATTTTCACGAACTGAAATCGGTACCTCTTGAAAATTCTCCGGATGAGATGTTGAAATTCTGTGTCATGTTGGGAAATTTGGTCCCCATGATAGGTCGTCGTTTCTCAAATTATTTTTGTGAAATTTTCTTTTGAGTTTCTTACTTTCTGGACCAGATGGATCTTTAAAGTTTTGGACAATTCCACCTATGATTACTCTTAACTTAATTTAAACTAAAATTAGTTAAGTCCTTGTAAAAATAACGTTATTAATTGGGAACATCGGGTAAAAAATCAGTATTCATACATTTTTCCGAGATTTGGTGAAACCTTTACTACGAAAGACGCGTATACTTAGATTTTTAATGTGGCTTCTTTAGGTCACAACGAATTAGGGTGATGAAGTCACTCCAATAGGAAGGTGCAACGTCACTACAGCTTTCACTTAAGTCTCCCTGTTTGTCTTCCCTCCCTCTCACTTTTTCGTTCGTGTGCTTGAGACGCCATGTTGGAAAAACTCGGTGTAGTGTAGTAAACTGGCTTACATCACCTTACCTTTGTTAACAATTGAGCAATTGAAAAAAATTGAAATTGAACAATTTTGCCCCACGTTACCTTCGTTAAACATGTCTGTTAAATGGCCTTGTTCATCTCGCCAGACCATACGCACTAGTGGCATCTCTGTATGTATATATCTTGAATGTACTGCATCATAAATGGGTGACCAAAGTTTGTTCAGCGTCTCGAAATGTGAATTTAAAATGAAAACGTGTTTGTTTTTTTTTTCATTATCGTCCTCCATGCCCCTGTCATATTGTAGGGTAATTCCCTGCAAACCTAACAAGAATTGTGGCGAATTTCTCACGAATAATATAGAAAACCGCTCATTTTCCCAAGTATAAAACACGGACATTTTTACATCTAAGAGATTACAGAGAAGCATACTGTGACGTAGTGGAATAAGACAATAATTTCAAATAACAATATCAGAAGTATATTAATATAAGTTCTCCTCTACGCGTCAGCCTGAATTCTGAATTCCTTGGAATAATCCGGTGCATGGTCTTTTCACAGAGCGCCTGCCGCAGCTCATTGTAAGAAGCCTCACATGCCTCCGTCCATGCAATTTAGCCTTGGCGCTCACGCCCCCGCAGCGCCTGTCGATAGGATCCGCCCAATCAGAGTAGCGAACGCACCTGCTTTTTTGACTCGGGTCTTGGAAAGTTTTGGATAGCCTGAACCTTGCCGGCCGCAATTTCCTGTTCCCGACTACATAGCCTAAGTACTTTGCATCAGAGCGCTCACGAACACGCGTGGCGGCACCGCTAGTGTGGCAGATTTCAAAATTTGGAAAACAGTCTCCAGATGCTGTGGGTGTTCAGACCAAGAATTGCTAAACACAACGATATCGTCGAGGTACGGCACTGTGCATTCCTCACAATTTTTTTTAGTGAAGTGCCCATAATCTTATAGTATTGATATGGCCCTTTTTTATCCCAAAAGGCAACCAAGGCGCCGATACGTGCCGAAACTGGTCACGCACGCCGAATACCTCTGCGCCCTATCTGTAAGACTTATTTGCCAAAAGCACTTATTTAGATCTAATACACTAATTTTAGCGTCTGCTACCTGTTCAAAACGTTCTTCCAGATTTGGTAAAGGAAATTACTGTTTTGATAATCTGATTGAGGTGCCTATAATCAATACAGGGTCGTGGTTTCTTTCCCGGTGCCTCAGCCAAAATCATGGGAGACGTGAAATCGCTTTCCGCCTTCACAATATTATCGCGAAGCATTTTATCTACCTCTTCCCGCTGGATCTTGGTCTGTTTCGGCGACATGCGGTAGGTTACACTACGAACATCAGTGTCAATTGCATCATAATCATTTGAACATCAACAGCATCAGTGTCAATTCAATATCCATGGTAGTGAAATCTGTTCAACCAGGTTTTTCACTAAAGATACACCTGTATTTACAAATGACGTTTTTGAGTGCGTCACGGAACTCTGGTTCTACCTCCGTCCCGTTTAGCATTTCCTCTGCGTCAAAGTCGTCGGCTGAGACCGTTGCAGAACCGAGAAAATTCACGTATTCTGCACGCTGGTGGTACTTTTTCGTCATGTTGATGTGATACACGCGTGGTTCTTTCCACCCTGGCATCTGTACTACGTAATTGTGTTCAGACATTTTCTAACGAACCTCGCTCGGCCCTACCCACTGCAGAGTTTTTGCGTTTTGTTAAGCGCCAGATCCAGCACATTCGCGCCTATATCAAAGCTGCCAGAGACCTTCCGGTTATAC